ACAGTGCTGGAGCGCAACAGGCCCTACCGCAACAGGCGGCGCAGGTTAGGTTAGGTTACATTAGGAGTAGCAGTTGTGGTAGGGCCTGTTGCGCTCCGGACAGTTGTGCTCCAGCGCTGTGAACCAGTGCCTGTGACTGAATGGCGCTGTTGTGGTAGGCGATATGTGTCAAAAGCCATGAAGATGCCCAGCTGTGGTACGCTCGGGAAGGTATATGAATCGCACTGTGGACTTGGGCTGTGCTGACCTCTAGCTATCCACCCTGCTTTTTATTTGTGGTATAATGGTGTGTACTGTGTCGATGATATGTTATATGCAAATGTAATACTATACAAAGTTTTGATCATAGCAGTTTGACTGAAAATTTTTGATACATTAGTAGTTGTATCTAAAGAGACCTGGTGAATGGTAATGACATCCTAAATATTAAATTACTTTAGAGTTTGGCCTTACTGCCAGTCTGCCAGGAGTGCCAGCTGCCTTAGAGCCTTATTAGCTTTAGCCCTTAGAAGTTTAGAGTTACCAAGTTAGGACAAAGGACTTTTCACTTAGGAAGAGCAAAGCCCAAAGTAAGTCATAATTTATTTAGAATAAGTAAATCAATTGAAGTTTAATTTTCACATCTACTAAAATTTCAAGCAATTTCTTATGTATGACAATGTTGGTAATGGTAGCAATATCCATGATACTCACTTGCCTTTTTATACTAGGACAGTAGTACACAAAAATAAACTAAGGAAGAGTCCAAAAAAATTACTGCTCTGCCACTATGTAATATGTTAAATAACCAGCATTATTAGCCTATATCCAAAGTGAAAAATTAGGCAGAAGGTCCAAGGTTGGAAGCCACGGTCAGGAAGAATAGCCAGGTGCGCAGGAATTTTTATTATCATTTTATCAATTTGTGCTGGGCGCCGAGCGCTGTAATATGCCAGTGAAAAAGTGCACTGTGCGCCATACTCCCAAAGTGGCTTAATGATGAATGCATGGCAACGCTATCACACACAAACAAATATCTGTGTCAAGTTAACTAGATTTCTAACGTGTTAACTCAGGTTCTGAGAGTCGGCACAGTTATGAATATTTATTTATTATTCATAGAACACAGTTTGGTTGGAAATGAATTACAAAACTGAATAGTAGAAGGCAAAAATCCACATGGCTTGAGATTGTTACTTTCTAATGAAGGACTGATTTTGGCAAATAGTACAAACCTGAATGTCAATGTCAGGAATACGTTACGTTCGCGACATCCTCCCGGTTGGTGATATGGGTTTGTGCGGTGCAAACCCATTTAATACAAAAATACAGGCACTGCAATTTTTTTTATTACCAGTTCTCATTTTTTGTAACTTTCAAGGTTAACTGTATAGACAAACAACAAACATTAATTAAATATGAATCACACAATGCATGATGATGTATCAGCATTGCGTAAAAGTCTGTAAACACAATGTTGCCATACCATTACGTTGGGAATTTCTGATGACAGTTATGTCTAGACATATTTTATTTACATAAGATTTTGCACTCTAAACTATTTTCCATTAATTAGAATGATGAAATTATTTCTGACTCGTATATAGAACAAGCCAAATCTGACAATTAACAACAATATAGTCAAATGGGGTAAGACAGGATCGCAGCCTTCATGGGGTAAGAAAGGACCAGCCCATATCATGCATTCTAATTGCACTGAATTTAATTTGATAGAAGAATATGTTAGAGCAATTATTGCCTGTCATTTCAGTGTTTGTTTCAACCTTCTTCTGCAAATAATGAATTTCTGGCTAATTTTTAAAGAAAACTTATGTAAAGAAGGGTCACAAAATAGTTAACCCTGTTTGGGAAATAAGCTCTGTCTAATGACAAAAATTTTTTTGGCCAATTTTGTGGATTTAGGCATGTAACCTCAAGTAATAAGCAACTTTTGAGACATACTAGGCATTCCCACCTGCTACCATCACTGCCTGACATGTATTTCAAAATGGGGTAAAAAAGGACCGGACATGGGGTAAGACAGGACCACTATATGATCCTGCTTTACCCCACAAGTGGTCCTATCTTACCCCACAAATGGTACTATATTACCCCACAAATGGTCCTCTCTTACCCCATAGTTTATCAAAAATAGCTTTTAAATGAATATATTATGGTGCATTGGTATTGGAGTATTTTGGTCAAATGGAACATACATCTTTTGCTCAAAATAACCATTCTAACTTGTCAGCTTTTTAAGGGGAGTGTCTGCCCTGAGTGCCCCATAATCAAAAATTTTTATTTTCGGTTTTTGTACGCATCTTATCTTAAAGCTTACATTCTGACGCATCTAATGGTACCAAAACATCTCTGTACGTTGATTAATGCATTCATGACAGATCGCGAAAGGGTTAGGTACAAGAGTTCTTTACCATTGACATTGAGATAGGCCGAAAATACAGGTAACACACTTAAATAGCTAGTCTGAACACGCTGTGCTTCAGTTATCCGCCTGCAGTTGTATGGGATGGTTCTTGTGCCATTGTTCACACCATCCTTGACAGAAATTCAGCTAGAGTATCATCTAGTCTTTGCAACCTTGCACCCTTGAATGTCGTTTTTGAGGTGCACGCAACTTTGTCGGGCCTTACTGAAAAGTTAACTTATTGTCACTGCAAACCTATCTCCTCCTACAGTTTTAAAGCTACAACAATGAGACATATATCATTCGATTCACAAATAAAAGATCTACAAAACGTTCATGGCATTTTTCCTAATTTAGTTATAATTTGGATTTTATTCTGCGAAAAATGGGAGGATGGCTGGAAGAAAAATGAAAAATTTATGAAAAATGCCCCCACTTCTGCAAAAATTGGAATTTCTAAAAAAAGCCATAAACATTTTATAGATAAAGACTTTATGCATCGAATGATATGTGTCTCAATGGTGTAGCTTGAAAATCTTAGTACTAGTTACATTTCTACAGTATAGTCAGATGGGGTAAGACAGGACCGATATCTCTAACAAGCATGTAGCATCTATACCATGAATAAATAAAAAACCCTAAACCTATCACAAGGTGTAGTTATGCAATGGGCTTCTAAGCTACAATTCAGACTTTCTGCATACAACATAGTTTTCTGTACAGATTAAAAAAAGTGAGCTGGTCCCATCTTACCCCAATGGGGTAAGATGGGACCGGGCATGGGGTAAGACAGGACCAACAGGTAATTCTTGTGTCTNTCAAAAATAGTCTTAGTGCGAGGAAAAATTCTGCGAAAACATACATCAATCTGAGTGTGGGTTGGAAGCCACGCGCCCATGAATCTGGTCCATTTGGCCCATTTATGGTTATGGTTAGGTCAGCCAGGTCTGACCAAGTTTATTGTTATAATGGTTAAAAACTAAAATAGTAGTTTATCCATTAACTAAAAAAAATAGATCAATTTTAATTGAATAAACATCAGAAAAAAATTGTACAATATGATCAAAAATTCAAATTTGATATTGAAAGTAAACACAATTTTAATCATCAGTTTCACAGTTTGAGTGTTTGACATGGCAAATAAAAATTGATTTTTTGCCATTATAACTGTTTTCTCAAAGATAGTCACTCAATGGTCAAGCCTTGTTTCTATGGGCTAGTGAGGAAAACATCTACTCTGAACTGCAGCTGGATTTTTGAGCTTGATTTTGTGGATTTGCATGCTGTGATTCCAGAAATGAATACCAAATCCTGGCCATGGAAAGCATGTGCATGTATTACCCCAAATCACTAATTTTACCCTAGAAGCAGCAACAAGAACATTTGTCTATACTTTGAAGTTATTTGAGGCAACCAAACATGTTATAAGATAATGTATTGTTTAAGTTTTTGTTAATGAATAAATGCAGTTATAATGCATTCTGACTCTGAACTCTGAAGTGACCACAAGTCTGCAATTATGCAATTTCTGATGAAACATTTTGGGTTCACTCATTATATATATGCAGGATATTTTGGTGGGAGGCTGGTAGCATGGTACTAAACTGCAGAAGTTTAAAATCTTGTGAAATGTCACATTTCTGAACTGCAATTTCTTAAATCAGACAAAAGTACATTACATTAGAGCCACAAAATTTTATACATATTCTGGTTTACCACTATGTAGCTTGGTCTCTAAGCTATCCATAGCCAGACAGGGAAGTATGGTGCAGCACAGGTTGAAGACACCAAGTTCACTGCCCCCAAGATGCTGAATTAAGATAAAGGGTTATGGCATTGTGGCATTTGCCAATAATGCTTCTCCCATCTCCAAAGATTTACAATTGTTACGTTCACTGTGCTCTGATTGGCACAGATGTATGCATATTGCTCTCAAATGACAATTTGTCAAGAAATTCACCATTTCATTAAGGATTGTTCTTTTCCTAAATGTGTTTTGTATATATAAGTGGTAGTTAAACTATTTATTTAGTCATTTATACAAATTTTTTCTGACTCATGTTTCTTGGATATATCATGTATTTTTTATTCATACATTTTTAAGCAAACTAGCTGATCTAGAACTGTAGTTCCCAAAGTGGGGAGGTACTGCTGTCTTGGGGATCAGTAGAAAGATCTGGGGGGGATGGCAATCTAAAGTCAATGTCCAAAGTTTGAATGTTTGTTCGACACAACACATGCAGCACACGGCTCCCAGCAATGGGTTTTGCCACCCAGATCAGGGTTTTTTGAACCTCTCCTAAATTTCTAGTGTAAATTTTTTTAAATACTCAAAATATACCTATGTGTCTGTTGGGGGCACTAGAAATTTACTGGGGAGCCAAGGGGGTGCCAGCCTGCAAAAGTTTGGGAACCACTGATCCAGAGTTATCTCATAGGAAAAAATATATATAGATGTGTTGCAGCCAAATTTATTTGTTGTGAAAACTGCACCTAAATCTGACTTAGCTAGAGTTCTAACAATTGCTTTTTAAAGGCTATGATTTCTCATGATGATATGATAATGTCATCAATTCTCTTCTCCCCTACAGTGGAAACAAAATTTTTCTCTAACAACTACATCTTTTTCTGATTTTTAATCAAATTCAGGTTGCAGCCATGTTTATTCTTTATGAAATGGCATTCATTGTTAAACATTTACCAAAAGTAAGTTTAAAATTATAAGTGTGTAAATTTGTTGATCTTGAAATACATTTCTTAATTGTCACCATAGTTTTATTGATTTGTTTGACTTGGGTTTATGAATTTCCTGCATTTTGAGTCAGATTTTTACTTGAAGTAGCTTTGGGGAAAAGGCCTGAAAATATTCCTAACACAAATTAGCAATTTTTTTACATGGTTTCAATAATAAACATTAATTCACCAACAGATAAAGACGTTAACAGTGGCCAAGCGCTGTGTTGACCAAGTGCTCAAGGCTGGAGGCTATGTCAGCAAAATTGAGAGTCTTGGACTGCAAGATTTGCCACAGACCATGGAGGGCAACTCAAAAGGAAGGTTTGCATACAAACTATGATTTATTTACTGTGTTATTTACTTTATTGAAGCCTTTTATTTGGGTATTCCATGCTTACAGGAGAGCAATGAATTATATCAATGACCTCAAATTTTATTCAATGTACCCCTGATCTTGTCCTTTTATACATTTCCATAATGTTTACTTTACTTATTAAATGAAATGTTTAATCTAACAATGAACTTGACACATTTAAAAACCAATAATGTTGTAAAACATGGTCTAGGTATTAACTATTGTTATTATATAAAAATTACCTATATTGGGTAATTTTCCAATACATTTAAGCCTGTTAAAGGATAATTATCGTTTGCAGCTACTTTGTAGTGAGATTTGTAGCTCCTACCGCTTCACTGGACTCTATTAAGACAGCTGTAAAACTTGATGAAGAGCTGCTAAGAAGATTCTTTGTAGTTATAACCAAAAACAAGCCAGTTGAGTGCACCCTCCATGATGAGCTCAAGCCACCTATTTACAGGTCGGTTTACACTTTACTTCATCAAAGTATTGGCTTTAAGTTAACATTGCTGTTACCACTTACCAATATTATTGGATTTAAGTTAACATTGCAGTTACCAATAATTTTATCATGCAAATAATGTTTAGACTTCACTGGTTTCACTGTGGTGAAAGATTTTGACAAATTCATTGTTTACGCAGGATGCCTGCCTGCTTTATTTAGGAGTGCCAGGTTGAAATTGTGTGCAGAACTTGGTGATGAATGCCAAACAAGTGACTATCATAAACTTTGATTGTGGTCTTAAAAGCTTATTAGTGAGTCTGAATCGGAAAAGATCAGGCAGATGTGTAGGGAATTTATTTGAAGATTAGAAGAAATATTTATTAACGAGTTGGTAACAAAACAGCATTCATACTGATAGAGAATTTTTTTTGTAATAGGTGCGTATATAAAATGGAGACAAGGCAAATACTAGTGCCCTTAGTTCAAGATGAAACGACGTTCTGGATGAGCTGATTTTTTTACACCTTACATTCTGAAAAAATACAAATTTTGAATAAATCATACTTAATTTTTTTCTATCATGAATTTACAGTTTAAAGACTCCTATCCATATTTGTATCAATCAAACTGATTCAATATAGAGCAATTCATACTTCTATCCTCAATAAATGGTCCGTTCTCTTAATAATTAAAACTGCATCCTTGTTTGTTAAGAAAAGATCTTACTTACAGACATCTCAACTTCATTTTCAGGTCTGAGGTTCAGAAAATGATCAAGGAAGCTGATGAGAGGAAACCCAAAGTTCCATATCCTGAGAGGAATGTGGAGCTCCTTTTATAGTCCAGCAAACCTGGAATCTCCTGTGACCTAACAAACATACTTTTTTCCTCATTGACTTTTGTCTAATTTTCTAATGAGGGCTCAAAAACATTTGTTTTTGAGCCTTCATTGGGCTCAAAAACAACAACAATGTCTACAAAACATTGTAGACCCAAACAATGTCTACAAAACAAACCCAAACAATGTCTACAGAACATTTTTGTAGACATTGTATGATTACATAGTTTTAAAAGAAAATGCCTTGTAAATTTTCAAACTGCAGCAGACAGTGGACAGCATGTCTATTTAACTTTGCCGTTTGTAATTTCTTATTTTTTTAAATCAACTCGATGTCAAATTGTAAGGTTCAGAAGGATCATCTAAATATGTTGGCTACTGTCTACTTTTTCCTAAAAAAATGCATTTGGGGTTGTTGGAATAGCAATACCGTATGTAATGTAATGCAATTTACTCATTTATTAGATACTACTCATGCTGAATCAAGAAGTGAAAACTTGTAATTTACATTGGTCATTGTATTTTTTTTAAATATGTCAGTTTCATCTGCAAATTTTCTTCTGTATAACATTGTTTTTAATCAAGCTTACACAAATTTTTGCTGATAAAAATTTCTGGCTGAAAATTTTTGCTGGATATATGTACCGTATTCATTGCAATGCCTGTAACATGTTTCTTGAAGGATGTTATACGATACTTGAAATACATCATTGTACTTGGAAAGTCTTTGTATGTAAGTAAACTTGTGAAGTCACACTAGCTTTAAGTCTTATTGTATATTTGCCACTATGTTATTCATTCATATCTAGACAGCTATTTTTTAATTTTCTGTCTTGCTCACCAAAATGAATTGCATAAAGTGAAAATATTTTATGCATTGAAAACATTATTATTTTTCCTCAGTCCTCACCTTACAATTGTAAAGGTCTATTTGAATTATCGTGTACAAATTCTGAAATATTGAATTATTACCTATGCGGTAAACCATAGATTGTAGACCCACAGGAGCAGAGCAAACAATGGAAGGAAAATTGCTTGTATTCAAGAAATATTTCTATTCAACTATTTTATATTTATTTTGCATTGTAAAATATTCAGACTTTGTGTTTCATTCAAAGCAATTTAACTATATTTATTAAATGTTTCATGCAATACAATTAAATTAAAGATTATTTTGCCAAATTCCAAATCTTATGAAATTTATTATAGTCAAAATTTTGTATTATACATTTGTATTTGATATATTTGATTTCAATAGTTATGAGCATTTTCTTTCCAACGTTTTGCTCTGTAGGGGAAGCTCACGTGCCCCTGGGATCCGAGTGTTCTATACACTAATTTAATGAAACATATTTTTTATTGAATCAGGATGCATCATTAAATATTTATTGGATTGCCATTCATGATTATATATTATTTAATTTCACTGTAATTTACCTTGCTATATCACCTGCTCTCCAGTGAAGACTGGGGTTGCGATGTGCTTACATTCACAACTGTAGGCTTCATACTCAAAATGAAATCAAAGGTCACACTTATTCAAGAAATATTTCTATTCAACTATTTTATATTTATTTTGCATTGTAAAATATTCAGACTTTGTGTTTCATTCAAAGCAATTTTGACTTTATTTATGAAATGTTTCATGTATTACAATTAAATTAAAGATTATTTTGCCAAATTCCAAATCTTATGAAATTTATTATAGTCAAAATTTTGTATTATACATTTGTATTTGATATATTTGATTTCAATAGTTATGAGCATTTTCTTTCCAACGTTTTGCTCTGTAGGGGAAGCTCACGTGCCCCTGGGATCCGAGTGTTCTATACACTAATTTAATGAAACATATTTTTTATTGAATCAGGATGCATCATTAAATATTTATTGGATTGCCATTCATGATTATATATTATTTAATTTCACTGTAATTTACCTCAATATATCACCTGCTCTCCAGCTAAGACTGGGGTTGTGATGTGCTTACATTCACAACTGTAGGCTTCATACTCAAAATGAAATCAAAGGTCACACCGTAAGAGACTTGGACCATCTTCAGCACTTATCTTTTTGTAATACAAATAGTCACATAGTAAATATATAAATATATATATCTTTTTTTACATTTGTTGGTTATCTCAAGTTACTTCAAGAGCCATCTACAAAATTTTAATAAGGCAAGGAATTTTTCAGTATAGGGTTTTCTTTTCTTAAATGACCAAACAGTCAAAGTCACCTCGTCAATGGTCCAGGTCACCCCCATTTCACAGTAAGATATACTTCAGTCTTGCCAGTTAATCTCAGTTGATGAAACCATCTGTGAATTTAGAATCTTTTTAACACCTAGCAGGTTAATGTAGAATTGCCCAGTATTGATTTGAGTGCAGTTTTAAAATCCCATCCCATCACCAGTAATTTAGACACTGATACTATTAATCAAAGAAAAAACAGTTCAAACTCAAATAAAAGTCCAATTTTATCTAAAATGAAAACTTGAACTTGTTAATTTTTAACAATGATTTATGCTTATTTACATACCCATATATATGTATTTATGAGATTTCTGTGTCAAACTCTCCTCCTATTTTGCAATTTATCATGATTCCATTACTGAAAATAAAATTGTTTTCCCAGTTTATATCTTGACAAAATAAGTATTGTGAATGCACACCTAATTAGCCCCAATACATATATTCCAAGTGCCTGTCTTAAAACACAAACTTTGACAAATATGTGATAGATTCAGGAGTAGCAATTGCCTATAGTGTCTGGTTCAAATCTCAGATTGAAACTTGATTGATTTTACTGCATGTGTGCATAGGTACAGAGATGTGTTTGCTACCTCTGCTCTCTGAATTTCTGCTGCGGTCTCTAAATGATATAATAGCAAACAATTATCAATGATTTCTTAGAATTCGCTATCACAATTGTATTGTTCTATCCTGAAGTGCAAAGAAAGTTAAGATTCAAAATTTCTTTCTATTTGTAGTCATGAAAAGTTCAGCATACTTTTGAGAAAAGAATTTCCATCTAAAAAAACAATACAAATCGATTGAAGAATGGGCAACCGTGTGGCTGTGAGTGTCCCTTCACAGATTCTTCCCATTGAGTTCTACCTGAAGGAGCTCTCAGATATCCATGTCAAAGCCAGGTATGTGGATCATGGTGCTCTCAGATATCCATGTCAAAGCCAGGTATGTGGATCATGGTGCTCTCAGATATCCATGTCAAAGCCAGGTATGTGGATCATGGTGCAGTCAGATATCCATGTCAAAGCCAGGTATGTGGATCATGATGATGTCATTAGATCTTGTAACTTAACCTGGTGTTTCATAGTGAACTAAATTTATACATGTAGGGCTCAGTATTCCGTGTCAACCTTTTGTCTATGGATGCTAGTGGCAAACCATCTCCTAAGATTTTGGATTGTATAGGGCAAATTTCTAAGTATTATGTTCTTAATGTGCTGGTAAAAACATTTTTCCACTACAGCTTGGGAAACACATGTTTCCTGAAGGTGGCATGCTGCCTGTCACGTGAAGGTTTGGTGGTGGTGAAGGTTTTTGTCAACAATGAGAACCACTTGAAGCTTGAACCTTATCGAGACCTGCTGCACCGAGTGCACGACCACCTTGACAATGCTGCCCCAAACTGCCTCATGTATGCTGCTGTTAAGGTACGTTATTATAATTGCAGCTGTTTTAATTTTAATTAAAGAAGCTGCATACATAATTAAAGAATAATTAATTAAAGAATACATAATAGGTATTATATGTTATTTATTTTTATAAATCATAAAACAGCTAGAGACTGTTCAAGCAATCAATTTTAATTCCATTCTACTTATAGAAGACCCGTAATTTTTAATTTTTAATTAAATTAAACTTCATTGATCTTGAAAATTTGATTCTCAAAGGATGCTTTCCTAAGTAAAGCAATGGTTTTTACCACCTATCTTTTGATTCAACACAATCCAAATTGATAGTGTAAGCTTTGTATGCTTTTCAAGTATGAAGTTTTTATTATTTTTTTATGAATCCGAGTAGACACCAAACAACTCTCCTTATCCACATTATCTACCTAATTGGTATGGCACTTGTAATGTGAGATTTGCATGATTGTGCAAAAATTCAGCGTAAGTTGAGTTGAATTATTTCTATATTTAAAACGTTGCTTATTTTGTGCTTGTTTTACTTGGAAACTTATTTCCTACAGTTATCTGTCTCTGTTAATATTTTTTTACCCTACATTATTATATTATTATTGTATTTTATCATGATAATTAAATTGAATGAGCAAGATCCCAATTTTTGTCAATTGAACTTACTTACTTACTCAATAAACCATCTTGCTGTGGCCAGTATGGCCAGTTGCAGAATTGGGTATATACATCTGCTAAGTATTTATTATCTACACAGCTTCCAATCAGCTGATACTGACCACAGCTTATGACTGAACAATGTCCCAGGCAGTTATTTGATTCCAACACAATTTTTGATCTCGAATGTCTTATGAATTTCATAGTGTTCCTTATGATTCCCTATTGTTTAAAAATACCTACTAAGCACATCAATAATTTAAATACTCAGACTACATACCTGGTGAATTTCACATTGTTCCTTATGATTACCTAATGTTTACATAGGCTAAACATGTCAATAATCTAATTACTAGACTGCCCTGGTCCCGAATAAGGTCATTGAATAGAGGAATGCAAGATTGATCAGTAAAAATAATGTATGATATACCTAGTGAGCATGAAAACCCTATCGTTTACATTTACTAAACACATCAATAATGCATATAATCGCCCAGAACACGTCAATAGTCTTGATTACTAGACTGCCCTGGGCTCTTGACTGGTCCCAAATAAGGTTACTGAATGGAGGCATGCAAGATTGGTCTATAAAAAAAATGAAAAACATAGTGAGCATGAAAACCATATTGTTTACATATACTAAACACATCAATATTGCATATAATCGCCCAGGGGCCATACTTTCAAAACTCATTAAGCGAACGTAAATACCTACTTACGCTCTATTTTCTTGTCTATGATAGGTGGATTTTGCTTGAAAGGCCGTCAATGATTGGCTGATGAACTTACGATATCTTTTTTTTAAAGTATGGGACCTGACCTCAAACTCATGCTGTGCAGATCACGGACACAGCAGGCGTGCTGCTGCGTCAGCACGTCGACAAGAGCCTCCATGAGCGCATCTCCACCCGCCCCTTCCTGACCCACCTTGAGAAGACCTGGCTCGCCTTCCAGCTGCTGTGTGCCCTACGTCAGGCCCACCAGGCCCAGGTGATGTGGCCCACCAGGCCCAGGTGATGTGGCCCACCAGGCCCAGGTGATGTGGCCCACCAGGCCCAGGTGNCCTCACACCAGTCGCAGGAGGACTTGTTACATCGCCCCTGAGAGGTGAGACTGTTGCCCTCACACCAGTCGCAGGAGGACTTGTTACATCGCCCCTGAGAGGTGAGACTGTTGCCCTCACACCAGTCGCAGGAGGACTTGTTACATCGCCCCTGAGAGGTGAGACTGTTGCCCTCACACCAGTCGCAGGAGGACTTGTTACATCGCCCCTGAGAGGTGAGACTGTTGCCCTCACACCAGTCGCAGGAGGACTTGTTACATCGCCCCTGAGAGGTGAGACTGTTGCCCTCACACCAGTCGCAGGAGGACTTGTTACATCGCCCCTGAGAGGTGAGACTGTTGCCCTCACACCAGTCGCAGGAGGACTTGTTACATCGCCCCTGAGAGGTGAGACTGTTGCCCTCACACCAGTCGCAGGAGGACTTGTTACATCGCCCCTGAGAGGTGAGACTGTTGCCCTCACACCAGTCGCAGGAGGACTTGTTACATCGCCCCTGAGAGGTGAGACTGTTGCCCTCACACCAGTCGCAGGAGGACTTGTTACATCGCCCCTGAGAGGTGAGACTGTTGCCCTCACACCAGTCGCAGGAGGACTTGTTACATCGCCCCTGAGAGGTGAGACTGTTGCCCTCACACCAGTCGCAGGAGGACTTGTTACATCGCCCCTGAGAGGTGAGACTGTTGCCCTCACACCAGTCGCAGGAGGACTTGTTACATCGCCCCTGAGAGGTGAGACTGTTGCCCTCACACCAGTCGCAGGAGGACTTGTTACATCGCCCCTGAGAGGTGAGACTGTTGCCCTCACACCAGTCATAGGAGGACTTGTTACATCGCCCCTGAGAGGTGAGACTGTTGCCCTCACACCAGTCACAGGACTTGTTACATCGCCCCTGAGAGGTGAGACTGTTGCCCTCACACCAGTCGCAGGACTTGTTACATCGCCCCTGAGAGGTGAGACTGTTGCCCTCACACCAGTCGCAGGCCTATTATTGTATCATTACTCATTCTGTTATAAATGAATATTAATCTCGCATCGAATTTGCCATCTTTTTCATATTGAACTCTAAAATTCGCCTTGAGTACTTGATATATCAATTAATAATATGTAATTTATTAGTTAGTAAATTAGTGTAATAAATAAAAACATTACAAGCTGTGTAATAATTATTTATATGGTCCCCAGGTTCCGGTACCGGGAGGGGGACGGTCGGGACGTCAGCCCCGACGGGGAGGCACTAGAGAGGGAGGCGTCCCCCAGCCCCAACCCCCCGCTGCACAACCTCACCCCTGCCATGGACGTCTTCTCGGCCGGGTTAGCATATCATAGGATTTATTTATTTATTCTATATGTGAATGTTTAATAATAATAATTTCCTACTAACCACTAATTAGTTTAAATATAATAATAATTTCCTACTAACCACTAATTAGTTTAAATATAATAATAATTTCCTCCTAACCACTAATTACTTTAACTATAGTAATAATTTCCTACTAACCACTAAATACCTCACTACCAGTATACTGCAATTTTCTCTTGACCAATTACAAGTACATATTAATGTATAAATTAGTATTAGATGACAGAATTTACTGGTTTATACACGTAACAAATGAATGTTTGTTGCATTCGAAACGTCGTTAATAAACAAAAACTACTTCCTGAAACTTGCCTTTTAATCTACCGTCTTCTGAAGAAAAGTTCCACTCCCTGATAATATAAATTAACGAATTCTCTGGTTATCAATCGCGTGTATATTAATGTATAAATATAGGTATATATTTTGTTTTTATTTTAATTGTTATCTCCCATATGTAAGCATTTTTCCTCCATGTCCCGTGTCGCCGCACTGTTAGGAAAATTACCGTTAACAGTATTACCGGCGTTTCAGTGGTCGGTTGGCACGTGAAAGAAACACCGTGTCGCCGTTTTTATTCTAATTTAACACGAGAAATCCGTAAAACATCTGATAAAAACGGCGAAACAGTTTATTTTCACGGGGCGACCGGCCACTAGGACGCCAGTGGGACCGTTTTTTCACCGNCACTCAAAGTGTGAGTTGTGACCACTCAAAGTGTGAGTTGTGACCACTCAAAGTGTGAGTTGTGACCACTCAAAGTGTGAGTTGTGACCACTCAAAGTGTGAGTTGTGACCACTCAAAGTGTGAGTTGTGACCACTCAAAGTGTGAGTTGTGACCACTCAAAGTGTGAGTTGTGACCACTCAAAGTGTGAGTTGTGACCACTCAAAGTGTGAGTTGTGACCACTCAAAGTGTGAGTTGTGACCACTCAAAGTGTGAGTTGTGACCACTCAAAGTGTGAGTTGTGACCACTCAAAGTGTGAGTTGTGACCACTCAAAGTGTGAGTTGTGACCACTCAAAGTGTGAGTTGTGACCACTCAAAGTGTGAGTTGTGACCACTCAAAGTGTGAGTTGTGACCACTCAAAGTGTGAGTTGTGACCACTCAAAGTGTGAGTTGTGACCACTCAAAGTGTGAGTTGTGACCACTCAAAGTGTGAGTTGTGACCACTCAAAGTGTGAGTTGTGACCACTCAAAGTGTGAGTTGTGACCACTCAAAGTGTGAGTTGTGACCACTCAAAGTGTGAGTTGTGACCACTCAAAGTGTGAGTTGTGACCACTCAAAGTGTGAGTTGTGACCACTCAAAGTGTGAGTTGTGACCACTCAAAGTGTGAGTTGTGACCACTCAAAGTATGAGTTGTGACCACTCAAAGTGTGAGTTATAACCACCTTCGCTCCCTCGGGTGTTCCTTTCGTGACTTGTGAATCAAGTCACGAAAAGTTCATGAATCGGCAACAGGCCATGGGCCTAATTCTTCAACGCCGACACTTCTATTCTATTCTATTTTCTATTTTATTCTATTTTATTCCAGATGTGTGCTGGTGGAGCTGTTCACGGAAGGCTACGCGCCCTTTGACCTGACGCAGCTACTTGCCTACAGGAAGGAGCTGTACCACCCCACGCGCCTCGTGGACAAGATCCACGACCCCCACGTGCAGGTGAGAGGCCCCACGTGCTGGTGAGAGGCCCCACGTGCAGGTGAGAGGCCCCCACGTGCAGGTGAGAGGCCCCACGTGCAGGTGAGAGGCCCCACGTGCAGGTGAGAGGC